TGACATCCCAGCGTGACATCCGATGGAGCCCAGCGTGGGCCTCAAGAGAGCACAGGAAAGAAACCTGGCCAAAAACCATCAATGGCCTTAAGGGCACCTGCGGCACGCTGCTTGTAAAGGACGGAGCAGGGCCTGCGACCAGAGGGACGCCAAGGGCTGGAGCAAAGGACGATACAACCCCAGCGGTCTCGACACCTTCTGCAGCGAATTCCTGAATGACCTGACCGAATCCCAATACGACACTCGCGCCGTCTACCGCTACCGCCGCCTGGACGCCGACTAGGATGACGTCTGACAGCAGTAGCAGGACCGGCAGGCCCAGGCCGCTGGTGGGAAAGGCAAAGGCGGCAAGCGGCCCACATGTGCCTCATGGCCCGCCGGCGACCAGTCCCGCATGCACGGGCTGTAACTGCAGGCCGGGATTGCCCCTAAGCATGAAGGACGCAGCACGTTCCCTGCTCTGGACAGACCTGATTGGCAACGGATCCCCCGCCGGTACCCGAAGAGTACGTCTAGAAGTGCCCTGCCTGTGATCCACCTGCTTGTGCACTAGTTCAGTGTTTTCGTTCTGGGCGCGCTATCCACCCCAGGTGGTGCGCCCCACCCCCTCATCCTTAGGGCGCGCCATTCACCCCAGGTGGCGCCCCTCCTCTTCACCGCGGACCGGCCGCCTTGGCAGCGCCCCTGCATCCATCTACACGTGCACCTCTGAAGGTGCCCTTTTCTTCCCCTGTCTGGGGGCGCGCCATCTACCCCAGGTGGTGCGCCTCCCCCTCTCCCCCCCCGGAAGGCGCCACCACCCATAGGTGATGCGCCCACCTCCCCCGCGGCGCCGCCATTTCGCGGCCCCGCTGTTGGCATACCTGCTCGTGCACCTGTTAGGTGCTTCCCCTTCACTCTGGACTCGGGGGCGCTGCTCCCTGCACCTGCCGCCTGGCCCCCGCTTGGCGCACGCGCCGCCAGATCGGGCCTCGCGCGCCCCCCGTCAGCCATGCCCCTGCGCCGGCTGGCCCGCGGTGTGTGCAGGGGGGCGCCCGGCTGCCATGTTGACTCGGCCGCGGCGCCACCGCACTTCTGCCTCCCGGCAGCCTCGGTGCCGGGAGCCCCCGCCCCGCCTGCCCCCTTGGGGGGCGGGGTGCCGCCCGCTCTCGGCCGTGATGGCGTGCACCGGCCGGGGCCTGGCTCCGCTGCCCCGCGCCCGGCCCGCTTGGCAGCGGTCCTGCGAGTGGCCCCCGCCCCGCTATTTGGCCCTCGCGCTGCCGCCCGGGCCTCGCGCTCGCCCTGCCCGGCGCCCCTGCGGCAGGCTTCGCGTTGGCCCCGCAGCCCGGGCTTGCTTGGCGGGCGCGCGCTGCGCCCCAGCCGCCTGCAGCGCCGCCTCTACTGGTGCACCGTGGGGATCTCCCCCCGCTCCTTTCCACCACTGCGGCCACTGCCATCAGCAGAGCACTCCCTGTAGCCCAGCCAATCTCGTCCCCTTGCACTTGGCCACTTGGGATGTTCTTCGGCACCGCTGCCGCTGGCCAACACCACCCCCTCTTCCGCTTGCTGGTCGTCGACCTCCCGCACTGCAGCCGCTGCCCCGGCCCCTGGGTGCAGTCGCGACGCCGCCCCGCGCCCGATGCCAGGGGTGCAGCACCGGCTTGGCCGCCCGGGGCGCCCCGATGCGTCACCGCTGCGTGAGCGCTTTAGTTCCTTCCCCTCCCATCGCGACCGCTCCTCTCTTCCCCTCCCTCCCCTCTGGAACCCAGGCACTTCGCAGTGCTGTCACCCTGCTTGCCCGAGCGCGCGTGCGGACTGCCTCTGCCGCGCTGCGACGTAAAAAAGTGTTGATGCCAACGTCTGCTCGTCCTCAGCCGCGTGGAACGCGGTGTGCCGAGGGCCGCCAGGGGTCCAGGATTTTCAGCGGATATCGGATATTGACTGGTACTGGTGCAGTCTAGACAGCCCAGAGCGGGTCCTGGGGCCGCACCCAGTTGCTCGCGTGAACCCCACGACGCCAGACGGCCTGCCACACTGGCCGTAGTCCTGGCGGGTTTCGGCCCGCGCTTGCAGCCCTTGCTCCGCTGATGAGAGCGAATGCCTGTCTGCGGCCGCCGTTTCATGCGCGTGCTGGATGACTGCGACACCGATGGAGCAGCAGAGACCGGTCATGGTGATTACCGCGAGGTTTCCCTGGCTGGGGCCAGGGGCCTAACCAGGGAAGTTTGCCCCAAAGGTGAAAGCTTGATAGGACACACAGACTGACGACGCCTCCACGGACTCCCAGCCCCTGAATCTTGAGGAGTGCGATAGACGCAAGAGATCGAATCATCCTGGCAAAATACATGCGGATTTTTGATGCGCGTCCCCACTGCAGGGTATGCACAGGGGTAGGGCCTGAGAATGCCCAAGGCTCGAAGAACTCCTCACATTTGGATCTAAGACTTCAAGAATCGTTCGGGAAACGCTCTTCGAACCCGGGGGGGGTATCTGAGACCCTGCCCCTGCGTACATACCCCTGTGGGGCCTGGTTGATCCTCCTCCTTCTCCTCCTCCTCCAACTCCTCCTCCTCCTCCTCCTCCTCCTCATCATCATCATCATCATCAGCAGCAGCAGCAGCATCATCACCATCATCATCATCATCATCATCATCATCATCATCATCATCATCATCATCATCATCATCATCAGCATCATCATCAGCAGCAGCAGCAGTAGCATCATCAGCATCAGCATCAGCATCAGCATCAGCATCAGCATCAGCATCAGCATCAGCAACAGCAGCAGCATCAGCACCACCACCATCATCATCAGCAGCATCAGCATCACCACCATCGTCATGATCGTCAGCATCATCATTATCATCAACATCATCATCACCATCAGCATCACCATCATCATCAGCAGCACCAACATCATCACCACCACCACCATCATCCGCATCATCATCATCATCATGATTATAAGCATCAGCAGCAGCATCATCATCTGCACCATCATCATGATCATCAGCATTAGCAGCATCATCTGCACCATCATCATCATCATCATCATCATCATCATCATCATCATCATCATCATCATCATCACCATCATCCTGATCATCATCATCATCATCATCATCATCAGCAGCAGCAGCAGCAGCAGCATCAGCATCATGATTATCAGCATCAGCATCAGCATCATGATCAGCATCATAATAAGCATCATCCTCATCATCATCATCATCAGCATCAGCATCAGCATCATCATCCTGACTCAACATCAGCATCCTCATCCTCATCCATATCCTCTTCCATCTCGTATCCTTATATTGTTTACTCCGCTCTGTCGCACCCGCAGACGTGCCGGTACGGTGAGGCTCTTTCTCTTATGACCCTGAATCATGAAATTTGCGACTGCTTCACGGATGGAGAGCGGGCAGTGTTCAAGATGTGGCCATCGCCTTGGCGCCGCGCACATTCTTCGTAGAACGCTGCAACAGCTTAACGGATGGAGGGCGGTACCTTTTCAGAATGTGGCTCTCGCCCTATCTCCGCGCGCATTCGTCTTAAAAGTTTGCAACAGCTTCACGGATGGAGGGTGGGCAGTGTTTAAGATGTGATCATCGCCGTGGCGCCGCGCACATTCTTCGTAGAATGCTGCAACAGATTCACGGATGGAGGGCGCTTCCTTTTCAAAATGTGGCTCTCGCACTATCGCCGCGCACATCTGTCTTAAAACTGTGCAACAGCTTCACGGATGGATGGCGATTCCGTTTGACAATGTGGCGCTCGCCTCAGCGCCGCGCACGTTCGTCTCAAAGTCTGCAACAGTTTAAACGATTCGTACGGTCGAAGTCCCAGAGATGGTGCGCCCTGGCATGATTTATGATTGTCAGGACCTACCAGTCACCCTAATTCGCGTAAAGTCCCAGGATCGTCATTCTCGTACGGTCTTGGATTGTCAGGAAGCGACAGTCACGTTGATCGGCGGCGCTGGAATACCGGGAACTGTGCTGAGGCACTTTTGAGGATTCTGAAACGGGTGTCGTCTAATGGGCCACTTCCCGCAATGAGAATATATTCCATTAGAGACCGATGAAAACAGGGAGCTTGAGGGATGACAGATTGCAACATCGTTAATGCGTCTTCGGTTTACACTGGTCTTTCTCCTCTTCGTCCTCCCCCTCCTCCTCCTCCTCCTCCTCCTCCTCCTCCTCCTCCGCCTCCTCCTCCTCCTCCTCCTCGTCCTGCTCCTCCCCCTCCTCCTCATCCTCCTTCCTTTCCTTCTCCTCCTCCTCCTCCTCCTCCTCCTCCTCTTCCTCCCCCTCCTCCTCCTCCTCCTCCCCCTCCTCCCCCTCATCCTCCTCCTCCTCTTTCTCCTCCTCCGCATGTGGCCGTCAAACCAGGCAACGCGAAAAAACAACCAGAGTGATTGCAGGGAGAGCCCCTCTCCGCGCAGGGGTGCGCGACAACGGCCTCCTCCCGGCGGGCCTCCTCCCAGGGCCCCTCATGTCGTCGTGCTGGACTTCGGGACGGCTGCGAGGAGAGAGAGAGAGAGCAACAACGAGGAGCAGAAAGCGGGAGGGAGAAGGGGAGAGAGGAGGCAGGAGGGAGGAAGAGGGAATGCGCTGTCAGTACATGCTTATATCTGCTGCCGCGGGGTCGTGTCCTGGGGACTCGGGGGCGGTAGAAATGGAAGTGCTTCCGCCCATAATTACGGGCGGGCAAATGTCCATACCCAACACTCCCCTGAATCCCAAGGCAAGACTCCGAAGCGAAGGATGCGGACAGGGTCTGGCGGTTGAAGGATAACACGTCGGGGGCGTCAAAAGAGAAGTTCGCAAATCATGGCCAAAGGCATGTGCGCGGACGACGGGGGGACCAGGGGACGTGCTGAAAGACGAAGCAGAGGCGATGACATCCAGGGACCTGGCCAGGACATCTGCCCCACCCCCCCCCCGTCAGCCGTATGCACCACCTTCTCTTGGACGCCCCCGAACACGAGCTCCCCCCTCTGTTGCATCGACCTGCCAGGC